ACATTCTTGGAAAAAAAGGAAGTTTGAACTTATCTATCGTTTTTCAGGTCATGAGACAGATGTATAATCTCTCTCAACCAATCGGCTAATGCATCTTGCATAACATGAGCTCCTGAGAAGTGAAAGATACCCAGATACAAAGAGCTTAACTTGTGCTAAGTGATATGACTCGCTCTTTTCTTCGATAAAAGACTGATTCTCGCTTTTTACTTTCACTGGTGAATTAGTCCGATTCGAAAGAGCACCAGAATCTTGATGAAATTCGTTGGCTTCTTTACACCTTCCGTCAGATCTGGACTGGTCCGTAATCTTGTTTTGTCGAAAGACTTTTACCTAAAACTATATGTAAAGATATTATCACCTCCTCTTGCTCTTTTCCTCAAGCTTGCAAAATGGCTTTTAGCTTTTCTTCAGATGTTTCTTCTCTTCTTGCCTACGCCCTAACTTCATTAACTTTGTGAGATATATTAACCCCCCGAGGGGAGGAAGAGAGAGGGCCCTGGGAACGAAGCTAGCCAAATATGTCGACAGTGAGTTAAAATCTCAAGGGTAAGGATCATCTGTTTGCCTGAACTAGATATTTCCAAAGATATAAATTACCTTCCTTCTTAACAAAATCGCACAAGTAAGTCAAGAGCGAGAGATGGAGAGAGTACAGAGCAAAGTTCCACAAATTTTCATGCAAAATAACAAAATTAAAATAAAAAAACGAGAGGATATTTCACGAAGGACAAATAAATGAGTTTATTCTGCAGCTTATTGTAGGTATTTCCAATGTATCTGTTTAAGCTGTTTTTACATAAATAGACTAATAAACCTTGGTTACATTATTCATATTTCTCTTAATTACTAATTTTACCAACATCAGTCGAATTCATGCTCGCTAGTCTCAAGAAAAAATTAACGATTTATAACAGTGACTATACATAAGTTTCAGTTTGTCTAAACAGGTGGACCTTCTTCAACCACTTTATTCATCATTCCCACTATCCACAGTAACCCCAAAATGTGCCTTAAGCGCATTTACAAACTTTCTCTGGCTGTCCTCCAGAAAAGCCCCTCCTTGCATTTCGCTTCTATTGAAAGCTAGGCGCTTCACGATGTCCGCGGATGCCCCAAGACAACTCTGAAGTAATGTGCTCCAATCAAAAGGGAACGAGGCTATCTTGTCTTGATTGAAATCGCACTCACCAATCAAAGAAAACTGTCGAAGCGGGTTATACCTTTCGCTTTGTTCGGTCCCGGGAATTGAGTTTGACGGTACAGGAGGAAGTATGTGGCCTGGGACGAAAACCAAGTTCATCAGCCAGTCCTGTTGTATTGAGAGAGATTGGTTAGCCATGAAAAGAAACGCTGCTAAACATGACTTCAATCAGTATTTATTTTCGAAATAATCTATTGACTATTCCTATATCAACATTCACGTTTGTAAGTAAAGTCTCGGTCATTTTCGGAAGGGCTTATCATGGAAACAAATATGCTTTTGTTAACCAGCCTCTTCAGAGGATTTTTACTTCAGACGATACCCGACAAAATTTGCTGGCAAACAACTTTCAGATAGCCACTTTTAATTCAAATAAAAAAAATTACACGACAGGAAATCCACCGAACTTGTTAACCACATCCGACAATTGCTAGGAATGCGATTTCTTTGCTGTCTTTCAGCTGACTGAAAAGGATAATTTTTTCTTCCAGGTCCTCTCCAAAGACAAGAAGAACAGTAAGCGACATAAGTTGTAAAAGTGAATCTAAATTTTCCTGATCTGTGGCATGTCGAAAAAAGCTAGGCGCTAAAAATTAGAACAGGGACTGGAACGAGACGAGGGTAACGTACGCACATGCGCTCTGGGAAATTAAAACGTCAGGTTAAATGGGTGACTGAGAGCAATCCAGGACTTGTGTAAGGTTTTCATAGTTATTACAAGACTCAATATAAAACTCAGCCATACCATGAACCCAAAACAAACCTCTAGATTAGGTTAAAAAATTTCAGATGTTTTAAAGCCAGCGTTTAACCCAAAAACTACATATGTAACAAATTATTTGCATGTTAAATTACCTTCTGGGCCTGAATGAAATTATACGCATGCCTCAGACACGCTGCACCTGCAGGAAAAAAACAGTTCAGAAGCATTGATTAACAATCCAGGAACGTAAAGCCGTTGAAAATATGTATCGATTGATTGCACGAAATAAAATGAAGTTTTCTTTCTACAGCCTATGGGACGCGCTGACCTACTGAAGATAACTGAAGTGAAAATTGAAATGGAAATTTATCAGGGTTAATTCAACGCGATGGCGCTCTTTTCAACGTCAAACTTCGAATTTGGAGTGTTTGTCTTTGAGGGGGCTAGAAAATTGGTAACCCGGATAAGAACTCCACGGAGCAAGAAAGATAGCCAACGATAACCTCAACCCTCATGTGACGTCAGGTACGGAAATCGGCCGCAGCGGTGCAAGTAGCGCGCTCTTACCCATACACCATGCCTGCTCCCCAAAGGAGTAAGAAATATCGGCAGAACTGAAGAAAATTTCTGCATCGATGGGAAGGAGAGCGACTTTACTTCACAAAACGGCCAAGGTTTACCACACCCCGATTCTGCTGAAGATACAGCCGATCCACTTGTTTTCACACAATGGCTGAGTGTTTTAGACAGAATACAAATACTGATTCTTACCTTTTGGTTCCGCAAGGAGTGCTGACGCCATGTGAGTGAACTGAATATCAGCTAATGATTCACAGACAGTCTCCACACTAAATTCTTCATACGGCCTGCACAATAAGAA